GGACTAGTATGAGCACGTGTAAGACATTGGTGTGTGTGTGTGTGTGGAGGGGGAGGGGTCTTTGTTAAATTAAAAATGAGCACAAATGTTCTTTTCTTTCCTTTTTAAAAAAAGTGTTTGCCCTTGACATTTATTTATTTGTAAATTAGTCAAAATCTATTTTCTCTCTCTCTTGTGCCAGGTGAGGTAGCCAGGAGCCAACTAATAAAAGGAACAGAGGTTTCTAGAGACTTGAAGGTTTGAAAAGCATTTACAATACAAGCCTTGTCTCATTTGAGCCACACAAAATCCTGTGTGAGGTGGAGGCTGTCATTATCTCCATTTTGCAGAAAGGGAAATTGAGCCTGGGAAATGTCAGGTGACTGGGCCAGGGTCACACAGTAAGTGACTGAGATAGGATTATTACTGTGCCATAAGAAATGACAAATAAGAATTCAGAAAAACATAAGAAGATTTCTATGAACAGATGCAGAGCAAAGTAAGCTCTCAGTCCTGGCCTCTTGCCATATCCCCCCTACTAATCCTGGTCAGTTGGGATCAAGGAAGGGCTAGGGTCCCTGAGTATCCCAGGGAGATCTGCTACTCTTCCCCTAGTAGCCTTGAATGGCAGTTACTAACCTCCTTAACCACCACCACCCCCAGACCCTGAGTTCTGGGTGGTGGTCCTAGGGTGAGGGGGAGCACTAGTGTGGTGGAGCTTGTAGTGGTGGTGGAGAGGAAATCCTCCTCACAGTTGCAAGACAGAAAAGAGTGCTTGTGGTCACTCATAGACCGGAGCACAGGCCAGGAAAGGAGTAAACATGTTGCCCTTGATCATAGCACATTGGAAGAACTGAAAATTTACAGGTCCCTAGAAGTATCTCTGAAAACAGCTGCACAAAACCCTTGAAGCTTGGGACAGTACATTCTCCACACTGGAAACAGACCCCCTACCTTAACAAAGAGTTTATAACTCAAGTACTTGGCCTGGGATCACGAGCAAGCAGTGCAAAATGAGTCAGACTATATTATCTTACTTTGGTGACAAAGAAGATCAAAACACACAACCAGAAGAAGACAATGAAGCCAAAACTTCTACATCCAAAGCCTCCAAGAAAAATATGAATTGGTCTCAGGCCATGGAAGAGCTCAAAAAGGATTTTGAGAAGCAAGCAAGAGAAGTAGAGGAAAAACTGAGAGTGATGCTAAAGGAGACACAAAAAAATACTGAAGAAAATAACACCTTAAAAAATAGCCTATCCCAAATGGCAAAAGAGGTCCAAAAAAGCCAATGAGGAGAAGAATGCCCTAAAAAGCAAAATTGGCCAAATGGAAAAGGAAGTCCAAAAGATTACTGAAGAAAATACTTCCTTAAAAATTAGAATGGAGGGGGCAACTAGGTGGCGCAGTGCATAGAGCATCAGCCCTGGATTCAGAAGGACCTGAGTTCAAATCCGGCCTCAGACACATAACACTTACTAGCTGTGTGACCCTGGGCAAGTCACTGAACTCCATTGCCTAGACAAAAAAAAAATTAGAATGGAGCAATCGGAAGCTAGTGACAATTTGAGAAATCAAGGCACTGTAAAAGTAATCCAAAAGAATGAAAAAATAGAAGAGAATGTAAAATATCTCATTGGAAAAACAACTGACCTGGAGAATAAATCCAGGAGAGAGAACTTAAAAATTATTAGACTATCTGAAAGCCGTGGTCAAAAAAAAGAGCCTAGACATCATCTTTCAAGAAATTATCAAGGAAAACTACCCTGATATTTTAGAACCAGAGGGCAAAATAGAGATTCAAAGAATCCACCAACCACCTCCTGAAAGAGATCCCCAAAGGAAAACTCCTAGGAATATTGTAGCCAAATTCTAGAATTCCCAGGTCAAGGAGAAAATATTGCAGGCAGCCAGAAAAAAAGAATTCAAGTATTGTGGAAACACAATCAGGATAATACAAGATTTAGCAGCTTCTACATTAAAGGACCGGAGGGCATGGAGTATGATATTCCAGCGGGCAAAGGAGATAGGATTACAACCAAGAATCACCTACACAGCAAAACTGGGTATAATCCTTTAGGGTAAAAAATGGTCATTCAATGAAATAGGGGACTTTCAAGCATTCCTGAGGAAAAGACCAGAGCTGAACGGAAAATTTGACTTTCAAATACAAGACGCAAGTGAAACATGGAAGAGGTAAACAGGAAAGAGAAATCATAAGAGACTTATTAAAGTTGAACTGTTTACATTCCTGCAGGGAAAGATGATATTTGTAACTCATGAGTCCTTTGTCAGTATTAGGGTAGTGAGAGGGGAAAAAAATATATATACGTATAAATAGATAGAGGGCACAGGGTGAGTTGAAGATGAAAGGGTGATATCTGGAAAATAAAATTAAGGGGTGAGAGGATTATACTGGGAGAAGGAGAAAGGGAGAAGTAGAGGGAGGTAAAATATCTCACATGAAACAGACAAGAAAAGGCTGTTACAGTGGATGGGGAAATGGGGGAAGGTGAAAGGGAATGAGTGAATCTTATTCTCATAGGATTTGGCTTAAGGAGGGAATAACATACAACATGGGGTATGGAAATCTATTTTACCCTACAGGAAAACAAGGGGGGAAGGGGACAAGACAGCAGGTGGTTGATAGAGGTGAGGGCAGATTGGGGGAGGGGATAATCAAAAGCAAACACTTCTGAGGATGGACAGGGTCAAAAGAGAGAATAGGACAAATGGGGGGTAGGACAGGATGAAGGGAAATATACTTCGTTTTTCACAACAGGACTACTACAGAAGTGTTTTGCATGACTACACATCTATAACCTGTATCGAGATGCTTGCCTTTTCAATGAGGGTGGGTGGGGAGGGAGGAAGGGAGAAAATTTGTAACCTGAAGTTTCAAAAACACATGTTAAATAAAAAAAATAAATAAAAAGAAGTGGGGGACCATGGGTATGGAATATTACATATCCCATCAACCACAGTTGGTATGTTGGTTAGACTGCCTTCCCCCGCCCTTTTTTTTTAATCTTTTGTTATTTTGTTACCTTCAGGGTGGATGAGCTCACTACCTGAGGAGGCAGGCTGTACCATGGTAGGATCACTTAGGTTTTTTAGAAAGTTCTCCATTATATGGAAAGAAAATCATCCTCGAAGCAACTGCCGAGCCCCATGTGAGCTCTGACCTCAGCTGGACTGTGCAGGGCAGGGATTTCATGTCCTGCATCCTTATACGTCCTCCAGAGACTTGAACAAAGTCCATAAAAAATTCTGGAAGAGAAACAGTCAAGAATGCCAACAAGAAATCAGCTGAGGCTACATAATGGGAAATCATAATGACTGATTATAATGGACCCAGAGAGGCAGGAGAAGGCACCTCCCTGGCCCTGGCCCCTTGGCAAGGCCAGTGGACGCTCTGAGGCTGGAACACTTCAAATCATATCCAGTTCTTTCAATATATTGCTTAATTCTGCTAAAGTACTTTTCTTGTCTTTTATTTGGTGTTAGAAGGGAAGGCTCTGGAGAGACAAGGTTGGGGGGAGGGTGAAACGCATTGTGAAATTGTAGGCAACATGTCAATAACAATTTTTTTTTGTAAAAACAAAGTAAAGGCGTGGGCAGTATGAGGTGGAATCGAGAAGACAATTGAATTAATACTTAATTTATGAAATTGGGAAATGGGGACAGACAGAGCCAGTTCTTTGGGACCCCGACTGGCAGCCGGGAGCAGGGCAGCAATCATGCTTTAATTAAGCACAGGGGTATGATCGCAAAAAGCACATAAAGGCAGAGACAAGAGGCGAAGGGGGTGCAGAGGCACACTGCGGAGGGACCAGGGATGGGCTGGTGTGGGAAGAGGAGGAGGAGGGGGACAGCCAGAGCATGGCTCCCTGGTGACCATGGGAGGGGCGCGCTAGGCAGCCTGGACGCCGATGGAAAGTTGGGGGGGAGGGGGACGGGGGTTTGAGGTCTCATTTTTATAGGGTTTGGGAGGAATAAACCAATTCTTGTCTGTGCCATCTTGGGGGCAGGTCATTAACATTTCTAAATCATCTCAAGTCCCTTTTGATATTCTGCTGGCCTGAAATTGTGGAAGTCTGGAATTTGTCTGTGATTTACATATCACAGGATCAAGAATCTTGACAGCCGCCCCTAAGAGGCTTCTGCTGATTCAGCATGTGTTACCAGATGGGAACTTTGGGTAATACTTGATGCAATTTGTAAATTCCCACTCCTTTGATCTCTGGGACAGTTTGTATATGACTTCTAGGGTCCCCTTGGCAATCTTATTTCCTGCGATTACCCCTTTTCCCCTAGCCATTTGTAAACTTAGTTACTATACTGACTGGAAGCGGCAGGGGGGAGTGAGTGGTCAGGGGACCACAACTAGATACAATTTTTACACAGCAAAGTACTAACAACTACAAAAATGTAAATGGGGAGAGCCAAAACTTTGAAACTAGACACCGAGTATTTATAATGACCAAGCCTGGTCCTGAAGCAGAGAGGAGAAAATGCATGTGCCCCTCCCTTCTTCACAGAGGTGGGGGGCTGTGGGTGTGGAATATTGCATACACTCAGACTCAGGGGATATGTTAGTCTCACTAAAGCTGCACTTTTGTTGTTGTTGTGGTGTTTGCAAGGTCTTTTTATTTTTTTTTGTTGTTGTTGCAAGAGATGGCTCTCTTGGGGGGGGGAATTTAGAAATATTTAGAAATAAAATATTTAGGTAAACTATAAATAAAGTATTTAGATAAACACATTTTTAAAGTATTTAGAAATAAAGGTGATGGCAAAACAAATGTATCATTTTTTTTTAAGATTAAAGGATGTTGAAAGAATTGAGCTACACAAAACACATCTCACTTCCTCCTTTTGGAGATAGCCTGGAAACAGCAAACACTGGGGCCCAAAGTCTTGTCTTCTGTATCCAAAGATCCCCGTCACAGGTTGTGGGGTGGAGTCTCTGCTCTGATCTCCTCTCTGAGAGATGACTCTGAACTTCCTTCCCTGGCGACAGGGAAGGCTAGAAATGCCACCCCATTTCTTCTCACACTCACACACCAAAAGGGGGAGGGACGGAAGCCACACACTCCAAGCTGAGAGTCTCGGTAGGCTAACCCCTTTGGAGAGTACTACTCAGGGGATGTTCCCAGTGATAAAAGATGCTGGCTTGTCCATTCCCCCTGCCCAGGGTTTGGGTGGGCTGATGGTGATAGGAGTACCTTTCAAGGCTTCTCTTGGGGATCTCCCAGGGATACTTAGAGCTCCCAGCCCTGAGGCCAGCTGCCTAGATCAGCACCCACCTGAGCTAGAGCCCTGGTTATGTACCAACTTGCTGTGTGTCTGTGGGCAGGAAGAGTCTTTTCTCTCTGGGGCTCCTTCTCCCAGTGGAGGGCTTGCCTTAACGGTCCCTCAAGTCCTTCTCAGTTCTGTCCCTAGTTATCTGTGGCATCAGCTTCCAAGGAAGGACTCCCCCATTCCAATTCTAGCTTCCACCTGCTCCCTAAGGCCCCAGATTCTGGCATTATGGTGCCATCTCTCTGGCTCAGGACTTAAAGAATGTCTTGGAAAGAGAGCCCTGCACTCAGCCTCTGTCCTCTGTGATCCTTAATCATAAGAAGTGAGACACCAAGCAGGTCAGCCCAGGGAGAAGACAGCAGGAGGGATGAAGATAAAAGGAGGGGAGGGGCTGGAGACCTAGACTACCTCATAATCTGGGGTCCAGAAAACAACCAGAGTAATAACCATAACCCCCACTGAAACCTTCCCCCAGCACACACACACACACACACACACACATACACACATGCAATACACACACAAACATGCATGTGCATGCACACACGCTCACACACACACCCACATGGGTCTGTGTTGTCTTTTCTCCCTCTGAAGGACTCGCTATACTTCTAGGGAAAGGGGGAAGGGGAACCCCCCCAGATGCTCCCTCTCCACTGCTTATTCTGAGAGACACCTGAGAAGGGAAATAAACACGCAGAGGGCCACAGTCTGAGAGCTGGAAAGGACTTTAGAGGACATTTCGGTCCAATCCCTTCATTCGCAGATGAGGAAATGGGCTCAGAGAGGGAAGGGTCTTGGCCAAGGTCTCCTGTCTAGTAAGTAGAAAGCCTGGGTTGGAGCCAGAGCTCTCTAACCTCCAATCCAGGGTGCTTTCCAATGCTCCAGTGGGGTTATGTCTTGGCAGAGCTATTCTGGACCTGCTCTGAGCCCTGCCCTGCCTTTAGGGAACCCACCTGGATGACTTGGAACTAAGGAAGAAGCTGGAGTGAGTTCCCATAGACCTGTGGGTCATTTCCCAGCCTGGTGTTGGGTTGAGGGTGGGGAGATAGCAGGGAAGGCTTCCTAGAGGAAGGGCCTTGAAGACCAGATATTGTGACGGGTCTCAGATAGGAGGAAAGACAACTTGCTGATCCAGTATGGGAAGGAGGGAAACGAGGGCAGATGCCGGAAGCTTAGGAGGGCAGGGACCCCACAGAGAGTGGCTTGTTACAAATAATATATCTTCTTAGCTACATTCCGCATCTTATCCTACACAAACAATGCTTTTTGTTTCCAGAATGTATCTTATTATGTACAAGCTTTGTCGGGTATTATATATACAAGATACACAATGGCTTGACCTATGCCCCAGGTCCCAGCCTTCCTGGTCAGACAATGGATAAAAGAGGAGAGGAGGAAGGGAGGGATTGGGGGTTCTGAAGACTGGGGCATGTTAAGGGTGGGGAGGGAGAAGAAGGTTCTCTCCTCAAGGCAATCCTGGACCCTCTCCCTGACCTGTTTCATCTCTAACCCATCCTTTCACCTATCTCAGGGTCCCTCCCATCATTCTGTGAGATAATAGATTTAGAACTGAAAGGAACCCTCAAGGTCATCTAGTCCAACCACACCTCATTTTGCAGATGAGGAAATTGAGACTCAGAAAGTCTAAGTTAAATGTCCCAGGTCCCACAAACAATGAGTATCAGAGGTAGGGTTTTTGAGCCCTAACCTCTATGACACACAGTCTTTCCGGATATCCCACTAGGTTCTTACACACAACATGCTCCCAAACTGGAGAACTTGAATCCACTAAGACCTTCAGATCTTTTTCAGATAAGCTTCTATCTATTCCTGCCTAACTATGTTGTATTTATAGAGATGATTTTTCTAGCCTAAGCCTTCTTTCCTGATTAAATTCCATATACCCATTTCTGGCTGATGCTCTAGCCTGCCGCGATCTTTTTGAATCCAGACTCTGTCATCCTGTGAGTGTCAACTATTCCTTCAAGCTTTGTATCATCTGGAAATGCGGTAAGTATGTCATCTATGACTTTATCCAAGACACTGCTAAAAAATGTTTAATAGAATAGGTCCAAGCACAGATCCCTAGGGCAGTCCACTGGATACCTCTTTCTAAATTGACATCAAGACACTAAACCATTTATTAATGCCTTTTGGGACCAGCCATTCAACCAGGTCTGAATTCACCTGATTGTGCTGTGGTCCAACCCACACCTTTTCATCTTTCCCACATGAATAGTGTGTGGTCTTCTTTATTTTCAATGTTTTTCCCTTTGAATGTTTCTCCCCAAGGGGTCTGGAACAATTAAGAGGCAAGCTGGCAGAGCAAATTCCAAGATTCTAGTGAAGGAAAGGAAGGACTTGTCTTTGGTCCTTTTTGCAGTAACAGGGCAGGATAAAAGGTTTTCTTCCACCTGTACATCGAGTTCACTCTATTTCTCTTCACCTGCTCTATCCTCTCTCTTCTTCTAACGTGGACTTCTGGAGGGGGAATCGGCAGTTCCAGGGGCAGTGTTAGCAAGAGTGTGGCCACAGATGCAGGAAGCATCAGAGCAGACTCCATGCCGTGATTCAGTTGAACCAGCTGCTCTGAATCGGCTGATTGGTCAGCCAAAAAGACTTCTACCAGTCCCATTATTTTAACCCATGAGCTTGGTACATGGGAGTAAATATCCCTGTCCAATTTGCCTTGTGCATGTTCAGGAAATCTTCCTGCCCTCCCTGAGACCCTGGGAGCCAGTGGGTGTGATGGAGAAGAGAGTTAATATGGATTGTTGCATTTTATTTCATATACAGAGAAGCTATGTGATGGCAAGGCACTGAATGTCTGAAGTTCTGGGTGCTGAGGAAAGAGCCATGATCCTGAGGAAGTGAACTATCCCTGAGGGGTGGTGGTGTATGCCAAAAATACAATGTTTATTAAATACCACACTTTACTGTATTAAATACAGTTTTTATTTAATATTTGACCAGTTCATCCTAGGCCATATGAGGTTAGGGGGTGGGGAGGGTTCCTAGTGATGAAAAGAAAACAGATGCTCTTGGCTTCTCGCTACCATCTGTACTACTTGGGTGGTCAATGAGTCCCAGGAGAAAATGATCTCTTGAGCAACCTCCAAGTGATCCAGGGAATGGAGCTCTGACTTTGCAGCTAAGTTTGAATCCCACCCTTGACACTTACTTTAGACCAGCCACTTCTTTCTCAGTTTTCATATCCTCATCTGTAAAGTGAATATAATAGCAACCCTTACCTCCCAGGGTTGTTGTTAGACGAGGATGAAATGAGATAATATATGTAAAGGATATTGTCAATCCGAAATCACTCTGGTTAATATGATCACAGCCGGCATCAACACTAGCCCCCGGAGTTCGTGTGTGTGTGTGTGTGTGTGTGTGTGTGTGTGTGTGTGTGTGACTCCTGGGTGTGGTAAGGCTTGTGAGACAAACCCAGATTGCTGAGGAGAGTGAGGAACCCAGGTTGGAGAAAGGAAGATTGTGGGCTACACAGGGACTGCACCGGGGGTTTTGTTGTTATAAAGAACTTACAGGTTGGATGGAGAGATAGATGGTCAACGGACAGACAGAAAGACATAGACTAGATGCATGGCTGGCTGGCTGGATAGATGGAGCATTTATTATGTGCTTGGGCTGTAGCAAGCCTGTACTAAGAGCTGGCGATGCAAAGACAAACAAGCAAATAAGGCAGGCCAAATTCTAATGGAGGGAAGGCTCCATAGAAAAGAAAAAAAGCTCACAGCTCAGAGGCCCACGGAGGGCTGTGTAGAAGGCAAAAGAGGTAAATTCTTTATCCCTGTGTAAGGAACTCATCCATCAGTGAGTCAATAAGGATTCATTAAGCACTTTAGCTCTGTGCTCAGTAAAAGGTAAAAACAGTCCCTGTCCTCAAGGAGCTTACATTCTAATTAGAGACATATACTTGAAAATGATTGAGACAAACTTGGTGAGAAGGCTCCAACAGCTGGGGTGGGGGGGGGGAAAGAGGGGGGGGGGTGTAAATCCAAGCTATCAACAATTGTATAAATTTAGACTAGAAATGACTAGAAAAATGCACATTGAAGCAACCCTGACATGCTACCTCATACATCTCAGGGCAGACTGGAAAAAATGACAAATGTGGGAGGGGCTATGGGAGACCAGGAACTTCTCTATTGGTGGAACTGTGAGTTGGAGCAGCTAGTCTGGAAAGTAATTTGGAACCATGGCCCCCAAGTTACCAAAAGGTGTATATACCCTTTCACTCAGCTATAGTGTATGTGTATATAAAGATATATATATATATATATGTGTGTGTGTGTGTGTGTTATATAATATATAACATCATGCATTATAGAATATAATATATACATTATAGCATATGTACTATATATAGTGTTTATATGTGTATGTGTGTATATATAGGGTGTATGTGTTCATGTATGTGTTTGTATATACATGCATGCACACACACATACACACACACACACACACACATAAACCCATTCCCCAAAGAAAGAGGGAAAGGATTTTTATGTACCAAAATATGTATAGCAGCTTCTTTTGTGGTAGCCAAAAAATGGAACCAAATTTTGGTATATTTATGTAATGGAAAATTATTGTATCATAAGAAAAGATGAAGAGGATCATTTTGAAGGAAACTGGGAAGACTAGAATGTCTTGGTGCAAAGGGAGCAGATCCAGGCAGTTGACGTAAACAATAAATAACGTCTCAGAGGAAAAAGATGCGGAAGAGCTTTAGAACTCTGAGCAACACAGTGATAACTCTTGAGTACAAAAGACTGAAAATGAACCCCCCCTGCCCCCAGAACAGAAAGGTGGTGAACTTAAAAATGCAAAAAGAAATGCTTGTTTTTAGATATGGCCAGTGCAGGACTTCTTTTTTTTCTTCATTGTTTTTTAAACGAAGCTATGCGTCTATATATTAAAGGCTTTATTTGGTGTTTGTTTTAATTTGCTCAATGGGGAGGAAGTTGTAACAGAGACAGATTAAAAAAAATTAAGTAGAATTTCAGCTAGGTCTTGAAAGAAGTTAACAGAGGTAAGGAGAGAGACAGAGATAGAGACGGAAACAGAGAGACAGAGACAGAGACAGACACAGACACACTTAGACACACAGCATCTCAGGCATAGGGGATAGCCAGTCCAGAGGTGGGAGAATTGAGAAATTAAATGATTTGTGCAGGGAAATGTAAGGAGAATGTGTGTCTGGGCTGGGCCTTGAACTTCCTGGACAGCTCTCCAGGTACTAGGGCCTCACCCCTGCCCCCACCCCCAAGTTCAATACTGAGCTGCTTAGGGAGAAGCAGGAGTGACTGGGAGTTCATGGGTAATAGCACTAAGGATATGAATAAGATGGGAGGGGGCTTTAAAGGAAGAGAGGGGGCTACTAGGCCAGTGGTATCAAAGAGACGTAGTGGCAAACCAAGAGTGTGCCAACTCCTCCTCTTGGCCCAGGGTGCCAGAGGCTGAGAGCAGCAGCCGGCAGCCCCCTGGGAGCAGACGCCAAGAGGTGTGGTGTGTTCAGGAGAAAGCTGGATGGCAGTGAACCTCAGGACGTGAAAGAAATGTACAGAAAGAAGTCTAGAAAGACTGTTAACGGATAAGGATCCCCCCTTCTTTGCAGAAGTGGGGGACCATGTGTGTTGAATAGTGAAAATAATACTTTTTATACATGTTGATTAGTTTTATAGGACTTTTGTTTTCTTTCTTCCGCTTTAAAAAAAATATAAGGAATGGCTCTCTAAGACAAGCTAGGAGAAGGATATGGGAGAAATGTAGGTGACCTAAAAACAAAAGATAGCAATAAAATGTATTTAACGACAACAAAATCCCCATAGATCAGGATCCCAGAGGGCACAGTAGAGAAGGAACATGGAGGACGTTGATTAGGAAGAGCTGGGGTGAATGTGGCATGGGTGGGGCGCTCTCGCCCTCGCCCCCCCCACGAGCGATCTCTGGACCCTGCGAGGATCTGGTCTCTAGTTCTGGCTATGCTGGGGCGCTCAGTGAGAAGGAATCTACCCCCAGTAGAAGAGCCTGTAAGACCCTCCCGAGGTGAGAAGGCAGCCGAAGGTGCTGGATAGTACGGTTGAGGGCACTCCACTGGAGCTCAGCGCTCATCTACCTGCCACACCTGCTCCAGGGGGTGGGGTGGGGGGGGGGAGGGGCAGGTTCAAAGTCCCAGCGCTCCTCCCAGCCTCCTGTCCCCTGGCTCCCCAGGGTCCACAGACCACAAGATGATGCAAGCAGTGGGTGAGGGTGGCCGCGCTGGCTCTAGATTACCCGTAAAACCCCAAGACTGGGTAGGGCAGAGGTGCAGGGGCAGAGTGGGGGCTGGGCATCCATTTCCCGCCGCCGGCTGGGGTGGGGCTGGGGAGATTTAGGACCCGCCCACCAGAATTCGGAGGATCGGCTCGGGCGGCCGGCCTGAGGGGAACTGGAGAAAGGGGGGCTGTTCCAGAGGCTCCCCGAACGTCTCCTTCCCACTCCAGAATGTCCAGAGGGCCTGGTCACGCCACGTTCCACGCCAGAACGCAGGGCCACGAGGGCATTGCCACGCTTCGTTTCCACACCAGAACGTGAGCCATGGAGGAGCCCTGAGACCGTGCTTCCCCACTGTTTCCCACGGGAAACTTGGCCTGTCTGCCTGTATCCAAACTAGAGAAACCCTCATTCTACATACACACCCTCTCCGCCTCCCTCTGGCTGGGCATCAGCATATGCTCAGCCTGGCCACTCTGACCAGCCACCCACCACCACCACCTTGTGCCAGGGCCCCTGGGGGTGGGGGTGGGGGAACACGCCATCCATCCTGCTCCAGTCAGCTTTAGACAGTGACCTAGGCAGAAAGTAGAGCAGGAGGGATGGAAGCTAGCTAGCTCTGTGGGAGGGAAGGACAGGCACGTTGGGAAACCCTAATGGCCTCAGGGTCCTCTCTCCCAACCCCGGAATGTGTGGGGGCAGAAGCTCCAGGCAACCTGGGCAAAATGACCTGTCTTTTCTTCTTGCTGCCTGCACTGGGATCTTACAATGTAGCCTCATCCTTCCCAGGGATTCAGGTGTGGAGGGAGGGGTATCTCTCCTAGGTGATTATTCCTCCCATATGCACAAATTCCCACCCCCCCATACCCTTTTTCCTTGCCTTCTCTGGAAATATTAGTGAAAACTAGGTACTCTTTTAGGGCCAACAGAACTTGGCCCTGCCCCTGCCCCTCCCCCTCCTTCTCCTCCCTGCAAGTGTGTGCAAGTCTCAGTGTCTGAAAAGGAGGCAAGGAGACCACGAGAGGAATTTCACTTGGTGATGCAAGACTAGAGAATTGTTTGCTTATTAAACACCCTTTTCACTTATTAAACACCACTTCCCAGTTAGCACAGGCAGCTGGACCCTCCCTCTGCCTCCTGCTGCTCCTGGTCCTTCCCTGTATACCACATAACCTCTATCTCAAGCACGGGAAGGCGTAGAAGAGTTGATGCATAGTGGAGTAAGCAAGACCCAGGGCATCAATCTGCAGGATGACTTCGACCATAACGGAAGGAACAAAAACAAGCAGAATGAAGTGCTGTCGTATGGGGGACAGAGCTCTAGCTAGAGTCAGAGGCTCTAGGTTCAAATTTCTCCCATGCCTTCCAAATTTGGCCTCAGACACTTACTAGCTGGATGACCCTGGGCAAGTCACTTCACCCTCTTTGCCTCAGTTTCCTCATCTGTAAAAATGAGTTAGAGAAGGAAATGGCAAACCACTCTGATATCTCTGCCAAGAAAACCCCAAATGGGATCAGGAAGAGTTGGACGTGTCTGAAATGACTGAACAATAACATGTCTTTACTATTCTTGTGACCTTGGACAAGTTACTTGACCTGCTGGGACCTCAGTTTCCTCATCTGTAAAACAAAGGAGTTGGACTAGAAGCTCTCTGAGGTCCCTTTCAGCTCTAACAGTCTGTCCAGGAGGCTGTGAATGCCCAGTCCTGCGCGGAGAAAGAGGGGCATGGGAAGGAAGGAAGGTCTCGAAGGGAGGGGAAGAGCGTTGTGCATTGGACTGAGGGCGGACTTAGACCTCAGTCCGACCCCCCTTCCCTACACCTGCTAGTTGAATAACTGGAAAGTCACTCTCGGAGCCTCAGTTTCCTCAGCTGTAAAATGAGGCTAAAAATAGGGCCTACCTCAACAGATCGTTGTGAGGATTATATGAGATAATGTATAAGAGCTTTGGAAACCTTACCAAGCTGTAGAAATGCCAGCGCTCATTATTTTTCTGGAGTCCCTAACTCCTCATAGTCAGGTTTCCTCCCTCCCTTTCCCCGTTTTTATTAGCGTCTTTTTCCTAGGGGCGGAAAGGGAGTGTCTACGGCAGGAGTGGAATGGGGGAGAGACCCACCCAGGCTTCTCTGGGCAGAGAGAGGGAGGCCTGGAAGAAGAGGCACATTGATCCCCCCTCCCCCCCATCCCTTAGTGGAAAAAAAGACACGAGAGACATGAGCAGGGCTGGGAGCGGGCAAAGACTTTATTAGGTTTCAAAGCCTCCCTCTCCCAACCCGGCCCCGTGTCACAAGTAAAAACCCCAGCCCCGGTCCTGCCCCTGGCCCTGCTCCGACGGGCCCCGACGGGTCCTGTCTCCGAAGTTCAGAGGACCGACACGCTCTGTAGCTGCACGTCGCCCCCGACCTCCAGAACCCGGACCAGGTGCAGAGGCAGGCGGTGCGTGAAGCGGTGAAATACAGCGTCTCCCGCCACGGCCTGAGGGACGGACACAGGCAGAAACGCAACTCAGCTGGACCCCGGGCTCCAGGAGGCCCTGCCCGGCCCTCCCTGGCACCCTCTGTCCCGAGTCCCCAGCCCCTAAGACCTGGGCTGGTCCAAGCAAAGACACGTCAGGGGAAGGGGACACATCTGCGACCGCCGTCAGAGCCTTCCTGACCCCCTCCTCTTCCTTATACCCGCCGTCCGAAGTCCTTGGGTCCCTTACCGTCCCTCTCCCTGTCTCAGAGCCCTCTGTTTGCTGTGTTGAGTTCAGGGATGGAGCCCCCGCCCCCAACAGACACCCCAGAATCTCCTCATCCCTCCCTCCTGCCCTCGGAGAGGCATCCCTGCAGACGCCCCAGGGACACCCTCCCTTCGGCCCTGAGGACTGAACAGGGGAGTGGGTCCCAGGAGCCACCCCTCCCCCGCCCCCAGTCCTGTCTGTCCCTAGTCCCTGGGGTGATCCCCTGGACCCAGCCCCGCTCTGCTTCGGCCGTACCTTGTAGGAGTCGTCGGCCACTATGATGAGCAGGTCGAAAGGCTGGCCTCGCTGGAAGGGAACGCTGGGGCTCCGTTCCTCCCGACCCCATGCTCCTTCCTGGAAGGCGTTGAACACCATCTCCCCCGAGTCCAGGCGCGGGTTGCAGTGGAGGGCTGTGTCTGCCCCCGAGCCTTCGGAGCACAGGAGGTTCACATGGAAGCTAGGGCCACACAAGGAGGATGGGAGTCAGCGCCAGCAGCGGGGTGGGCGGTAGGCCATGTGGGTCGTGGGCTTTAGGGGACTAGGCATGGTTATGGCAGGGAATGGGGGGAGGGCTTCATTGCCAGCATGGGGAGTGGGAGGCTAGGACTTCCAGACACTGGGCTAGGGGTCTCAGAGCTCCGGATTGTGGGTGAGAGCGCTAGGGAAGGTCAGCGTCATTGATGGACTGAGACCACAGGGAATGGGGCTCAATAAGGGGGCTGAGGAAGGGGGATTAGGACAGGACCAAGATCCCCAAACAAAAAATCCCCAGGAACCTCAAATATCAAAACGAGGGGCTTGTTTAGGGAGCTGGTTAGCTAACAATCCTTAACATAATGAAGGAATGATATGGAGTCTAGAGTTCCCAGAGTCAAAGTAGGAGATGGGTTAGGGCTTAGGGAGCCCTGGGCTCGGAGGGCTGCCGGGCCTAAACCTTGAAACACAGAACTCCCAAGCCTTCCTAGAGTCAGAGACTGTAGGTAGAAGTTCTGGGGCAATGGTGGGAATCTGGATCCCCAAATGTATACCCATGTCCCCTTAAGCCTCCAGACACACCTGGTCAGGGTCCCCATCCATGGCACCATATCTTCAAACACCCTTGGCGGACCCTGAAACTGCCCTTAGGAATTATCACAGGATGAATGGCCCAGATACCAGCCAAGGAAAGAGATTCTGAAACCCAGCCCCAGCCAGACAGGACACACTGGTCCTAGGCCCTCTTGTACATGCACAGGGACCCCAAGACCCCCTCCCTTCATGCCTCAGGGACCCCAGACTCACCGCTTTGCATTGGCTGACACAGTACCCCTAATTCGAATCACGGACCCAGGCCGGAGCCCATCTTGGAGTATGGCCTTGTGAGGCACAGTCTGTGGGACACAGACAGTGAGAGATGAGCTACAGACTCAGCTTCAGGACAGAGACAGTGAGAGATCTCTGGCAAGGACACACTGAGACCCATAGGAGCCCAGAGACAGAAAGAGACATTGAGAGACATTGAGGAAAGACACCTAGACATCAGGCAAAGCAGCCAAGGAGAACCGGTAACTAGGGAACAGCACAGGCTGAGGTGGACAGGACAGACGTACGGATGGACAGAGGCGGAAGCACCTCCATACCCCCTTCCATCCATCTTTTCCCAGGACAGACACTCACATAGTTTGCCATGGTGTAGCCTGCACGGGTGTTATTTGGTGGTGGGAGGCGGGTGCCAGCTGGGACAAGTCTTATAAACCATGGAGGGGATGGGGAGGGCCCTGACTCACCCACCCCCGCCTGCCCCGGGGGGCTCAATGACTCACTCACAGCCCTGGGAAGGAGGGGAGAATAGACAGGGCAGGGAGTGATCCCCCAGATAACAGCTCCCCAACCCCACCCTACCTGGGAGAACTTCAAGGTACAGCTACAGAATAGGAGGGGTGGGGTACAGCCAGTCCCCAGAATCCCATTTCCAATTGGGTACCATAGCCTTCCCTTAACAAACATACATCTCAATGAGGAGATGGGGGAGGGGCTCACAAACATCCTATACCTCAAAGGAGAGCGCTAGAAGGTGCTTTGAGATTCCCCAGAAAACAATAGACAGGGACAGTTTGGGGAGACTGAGGCAACTCACACACACTCACATCCATCCATATACATCTGCCAGCTGACGCAGAGCCCCTGGAGTGCTGGGCTGGAAGAGGGGAGACAGACACAAATGCCTGGTCTGGCTGCTGGTTCTTTGTCCCTCCCCACCCATCCCAGTCTCTGAATCCTCAGGCCCTCCGACTGCGGAAAGGGACCCTTTAGTGTTTGGAATTCAGGATACTAATGGAAAGTGGGGATGTATTAATTGAGGGTAGTTTGAGGTTGCATAGGGGTCTTAATCTCCATTCTAGAATTAATCCCAGCTCCATCTAGTGTCTTAAGTCCTTAGGGATCCTCAGAATCAATTGGAGTGGGGAGGGGGAAGAGAGTAAGCAGAAACTCAGATCTGCAAAGGACCTCAGGGGGCATCTCCTCTCTGATAACCAGCCTCCCATTAAAAACCTCCAGGGAAGGGGCAGCCTGGCACCCAGCACTCCCCAGCCGCATCCTAGGGGCCTCTCCACAGAGCTGGTGTCTTCCTCTTCCAGCTCCCCCCTACTGCTCCCAGTTTTGTCCTCAGGAGCCCAGCAGGAGGAGAATTCTTTTGCATTAATCTCTGTTCTATTTGAGAACTCATTGCACTTATTCTAAGACATACCAATAAATTTGTGATCTCATCAATGTGGATGTTCCCTGAAATGGTGCAGATTAGACCTTGTCCACTCCCTGTGCATCCCCTGTGACTCTGATCCATGCCCTCCCATAAGCTGCCCTTCTTGGAACCTTCCCAGCCTCTCTGGCACTCACAGACTACATTTGCATTTAGGCCAACTATCAGTTATCCACATAACTAGTCTATCTTTTTCAATCATACATTTCTCTTAAATATCATTCTTTAAATCTTATTTTTTAATTAATAGTAACTGATCTCTCCTTCCCCTCCCTCAACCATTGAAAAAGAAGAAAAAACAAACAAACAAACCTTGTAACAAATATACATAGTCAAGCAAAGCAAAATAAATTCCCACTTAAGCCATTTCCAAAAATGTATGTTTCATTTTGCATTCTGCATTCCCCACCTCTTGTCAGCATGTGGGAAGCATGCTTCATTATGGGTCCTCTGGAGTCATGATTGGTCACTGACATGTTCACACTTCTTAAATCTTCAAAGTGGTTTGACTTTACAATGTTATTCTTGTTGTAGGAACTGTTCTCCTGCTTCTTCTGATCACTTTGCTTATGTATCAGTTCACATAAATCTTCCCAGGTTTCTCTAAAATCATCTCTTTTATTATTCCTTATGGCATGAGAGTATTCCATTGTTTGTTCAACTGTTCCCAATTTCCTGGTTCCCTTCTAATTATAGCTGACTTGGTTTTACTCAGGCACAAACTTTTTAAATGTATGTAATCAAAGTTGACCGTTTCACCTCCCATGAACTTCTCTATCTCTTCTTGTCTGGGCACACATTCTTCCTCTATCTAGAGATCTGACAGGTATTTTCTTCCATGTTCTAATTTGTTTATGATATCCCCCTTGATTTCTAAATTGTATACACTGGAACTCGTCTTGGTGTATTGTTGGTCTAAGCCTAGTTTCTGCCAGATTCCTTTTCAGTTTTCTGAAGTTTTTTTTTTTTTTCCAAATAGTGAATTCTTCTTTCTTTCTTTCTTTTTTTTTTTTTTTTGACTAGTCAATGGGGTTAAGTGACTTGCCCAGGGTCACACAGCTAGTAAGTGATTTGAGCTCAGGTCTTCCTGAATCCAGGGCCTGTGCTCTATCCACTTCGCCACCTAGCTGCCCCTCAAATAGTGAATTCTTGCCCCAATTATTGGTTTGATGCTTCTGTATATTGTGTACCTGAGCTGTTCCACTGATCAACCTTTCTATTTCTTACCCAGTAACAAATTGTTTTGATGATTACAGTTTAGTGGTATAGTTTGAGATCTGATACTGCTAGTTCCTTTCTCTTCCCATTTTTTTCATTGATTCCCTCGATATTCTTGACCTTTTATTCTCCAGATGAATTTTGTTATGATGTTTTTTTTTAGTTCTATAAAAATTATTCAGCAGTTTGATTGGTATGACATTGAATAAGTAAATTAACTTAGATATTGTTTTAATTTTATTATATTGGCTATCCCTATTTATAAGCAATTAAAATTTCTCAAATTTCTTTGTGTAAAAAATGTTTACATAATTCCTGTGTGTCTTGGCAGGTAAACTCTTAAGATTTCTTTGCATTTTCTGTTTGGATTTAAAACTCTTCATGATCCCTCCTACCTTTCCGGTTTTCTTATACCTTATTTCCTCTGCACAGTCTTCAAACTAGCAACACTGGCTTCCTCACTGTTCTTCACACACAACACTACATCTCCCAACTCTGGAGAATTTTCATCAGCTATTCCCCCATTCCTGAAACTCTTTGCCTTCTCATCATTGACTCCCGACTTCCCTGGCTTCCTCTAAGTCACACTGAAAGTCCTAACTCCTGCAGACATTATTTCCTGCTCCCCCTTAATGCTGGCGTCTTCCTCCTGAGATAGACCTCCAATTTATCCAGTGTATATCTTGGTGCTTAATAAATGCTTATTAATTGATTGGTTGACATTACTCCAGGCACAATTGATGACTGGTTTTACTGAACAACTTTCTTCCTCTCTCTTTTAAGATCTTTGTTCTTCAGAGTGGTTCCCTAAGTAGGGGAAAGGGACTGATACATTCAGAAATGAAATCGATGTAAAGACATAAAATAGCAATGCAAGCAAGATCAGAAAAGAGAAAATGAGACAACATTGTGAAAATTGGTCAAGAATCTGAGAAAGACTGGGTCCTCATGACTGTCACTAATCTGTAGGAAAGTTTTCCATTTTCTAACTTTAAGAACCAATATCTGATCAATAAACTTGATTTGTACTGGGGAAACAGAATCTGAGTAATTTCCCTGCTCAGTTTCAATTAAACCTGCTCTCTTCCTGTTCAGTTTGATATCCATTTGCAGTATCCAAACTCTGTAGTTGTCCATTCAACTGCTATTTGTCCGTGTGGCCTTTACTTCTCTAAACCTCAAGTTTCCTTATCTCTACTATGAGAGAATTGAACTGGAAGACCTCTGAAGTCCTTTCTTGCTCTAATTCTGCAATCCTAGGAACTGAATATCATAATCTTCATCCACTTAGTTTGTCCTATATGGATAGTTAGACCAAACTCTTTTGAGCAATTATCATTTGAGAGGTTGTGCAGTGTTCAAGCCCAAATCATCTGCATACAAGAGCATCTGGAAGATTTCCCCATTGGTAGTGAATCCCTTTTTGACTCTGCTTTAGTGCTGGATGTCTTACATGACAGTGGTGAACTAATTCCTTTGGTATGTGTAGGTCTCCCTGTTTTATGCCTCACTTGATAATAATGATCAAATGGGAGCAGCTAGGTGGTGAAGTGGATAGAGTACTGGCCCTGGAGTCAGGAGGACCTGAGTTCAAATCCAGCCTTAGATATTTACTGTGTCTGTATGACCCTGGACAAGTCACTTAACCCCAATTGTCTCAAAAAAGATAGTAATGATCAAAGGGTCAGTCAACGAGGTTATCTCTGCTGCTGTAATGTTCAAGGAACCTTTTATGATTTTGATATACACATAAGTAACCTTTGGTTCAAAGAGCCATTTGCATAAGACTCTCCTTATTGGTAGAGACTAATTACTCAGTGTTCTGGGCCTGAGTTGATGAGAGCTAGAGAGAAGTAAGATGCCAGTTTTTGGGCTTCCAGCCTCAAGAGAGAAGACATGTCATTACAGAACCCTTGACTGGAGAGAAAGATTCAGAGAGGAAGCATCTCTTCCACTATGTGCTGGAACATGATTGGGACTATAAGCACTGATGAAGGGCATGGTTTCAGAGAAGCCTGGGAAGACTTGTACGAACTGATGAAGGGAGTAGACTCAGCAGAACAATTCATACAGTGACAACAGTATTGCAAAGACAAACACCTTTGAAAGACTTATGAAAGCCTATCACCTCCAAGATCAACCATGGCTCCAGAGGACTCAAGATGAAACATGAAACCTACCTCTTGACAGAAGGTGACGGACTCATTGGATACGATCCATGAGGAAACTTGTTTTCCTTAACTATACATATTTATTACAAGGGTTTTTTTTCTTCTTTTATAATGGGGAGGGGCAGAGAAAGATAAAGTGGGTTTCCACTAATTCTTTAAAAATTAAATTTAAAAGAAGAAAGACAAAGGGACTGAGAGAGAGAGAGAGAGAGGAAGGAGAGAGGGAGAGGGAGGGAGGGAGGGAAGGAGAGAAGGGGAGAGGAAGTGATAGAGGAGGAGAAAGATGGGGGGGGAGGGCACCGTGGATTTGTACCCAGATTTAAATCAGATTCAGCTATTTAAGACGTGTCTGACTTTAGCCAAATCACTCTCCTATGGGTCTGTTTCTTTAATGGTATAGCACAGAGAGTTGGACTAGATTATTAGCAGAAGTGTCAGACTTCACTGTGGGTAGAAAGTGGCTTGCAAAACTCCAAAGTGCCCGCCCCCAAACCAGATTATGTAATTGGGGAAAATTTAGCAAAATAAAACTACAATACAACATAGATAATGTTCATTTGTGGGTTCCTAAGTCAATATACAGCAGGGCAGGGATTTATTCCTATTTGAGCTTGACACCACTGACCTAGGTGATTTCGTAGCGTCATTCCCAGACATCTCCATTCTGTTCCCCAAGCCTTCTCTTCTTTGGAGTAAAAAGCCCCAATTCTTTCCCTTTGGTCTCTAGGATAGAAGTCAGGTCTGTTTGCCTTCTACAGTTCTCCACAATCAGGTTCCTACTGACTTTTCCAGGCTTACCATACACTCTGCCTGCCCTGAAATGCTGCCCTCTCTTCTCACTACCGCCTCATAGAACACCATGCTTCCCTTAAAGCCCGGCTCCAGGGACAGCTGGGTAGCACAATGGATAGAGCACCCTCCCTGGAGTCAGGAAGCCCTGAGTTCAAATTCAGCCTCAGACACATAGCACTCACTAGCTGTGTGATCCTGGGCAAGTCACTTGACCCCAATTGCCTTTAAAAAAAAAAAAAAAGCTCAGTTCCAGAGCTGCCTTCTACAGAAAGCCTGTTTCCGTTCCCTTACGTGTCTACATTTCGTACTTAACTTCCGATGGATGTACTTTTTCTCCAATACAGTATTAATTTGTTGAAGTCAGGAATGATCTCATTTTTGGCGTTTACCCTGAGACAAAATCTGTGAGACCCAGGAAACTGCTAGAGCCTAGACTGTCTTGAGCATGTTCTGGGGAAGCCTGGAGACAGAATGAAGAGGCATGGAATTTGTGTTCTGCAGCTCAGGACTGGCTGGTATTTTGGTGGCTTGGAAGCTGGTCTCAGATGCTTGCCAGCTATGTGAACTAGGACAAGTCACTTAGTCTCAGTTCTCTGTAAAATGAGGATAATAAAAGCACCTACACTTACCTTATGACCCTGGACAAATCACTTAACCTCTGTTTGTCTCAGTTTTTTCATCTGTAAAAATGGGGTAACAATGCTTCCTACTTCCCAGAAATTGATATGAGGATAAAATGAGATAATATTTGTAAAGTGTACTGTAAACTTTAAAGCACTATGTAAATGCTAGCTTGTCATCATTATTGTTGTTATTATGATTATTTCCCTCTGAGTGACTTTGATTTTGATGCTTTCTGACTGCTATCTGGAGGGTCAGGGGATCACACTAATCTGGTTGCCACTGGGGCTAGACTTGCTGATCGGGTGCAACTTATCCAAGGTGGCTTTGGGACTGAGACTGCCCAACTTCTGTGAGTGTTTGGCAGCTGCTGCCACGGCCACAGACTCCGGTATCCCAGCTGAGATTGCTAGACACCTGTGCTACAGACAGGGGTCCAGATTAATCCCGAGTCCTGGACTGGTAAATGTAATGACTCTTGCCAATCTGATGACCCGCAGGGGAAGACTGTTTCTTTTACCTCTCTTCCTCTGGTATTGTCTGTGATCTGGAAGTGGGAGCCTGGATACACACTTCCCCCCTATTCCCTTTTCACAGGTTGTGTGTGTGTGTGTGTGTGTGTGTGTGCTCATAGCTTGGGAATTCCTTGACCACCCCTGGGAAGAACTGAGAGGGGAAGGAAGAGGGTTGAGGAGATGTCAGGCCTCAGTTTGCTAATCTCTAAAATGGGGTGGCTGGGCTCAATGGTTTCTAATGTCCCTTAACGACCCAAATATATGATCCTCTGCCGGGATGGATCCATTTCAAAATGTGAACCTTTTTTTCTTCCCATTTTTGCTATGTTCACTAAACATACTTTGGTATGTTGGATATCTGAGTCTTGTGAATGTATATGTGTAAGTGTGCATGTTGGGGATTGGGGGAGGGGAAGTATGACTATAGAGTGGAAAGCCTAGTGTTTGGTGTGGGCTTGGAGCTAGGCAGTTACATGGTACAGAGCATAGAACTCTACACCTGTAGTCAGGAAGACCTGAACTCAGATCTGGCTTGAAACATTTGCTAGCTGTGTGAATCCTGGACAAATCACTTAATCACTGTTTATTTCCATTTCCTTTTCTGTAAAACAAAGATAACAACAGTACCTACCAGAGTCATTGTGAGGATGAAATGAGATATTTGTAAAGTGCTTTGCAAAACTGAAAGCTCTATAGAAATGCTAGTTGTTATTATATTTTAGCCCCTTTAGATTCAATTCTGAACCCAGCCAGCACACCTGCAGAGGTTTGAAGACTGGGATAGGGGAGTAGTCTAGGTGTTTGCAGGTATAATACTCTCTCACGGCCAAGAAACGGATGCCTTTTGGAGCTATCTCTGCACCAGAGAGGAACTGAGGTGGTTATTGGGCTAGTGGCTCAAGAAGAGCACCACCTGGTGGCCGACTCAGGTGTTGTACTTCCTTGCTGGATAACTAATAGAGTGACATACCGTCTTTCTATATGCTTAAGGAAGGCAGAACATGAGTTAATTTGGACTGCTTACACTAAAAGATACTACAAGTATTCCAAGTACCACTACTGCTAAGTACTCATGGGGTATACAAGTGTCACACTATAATATAGTAACCAGAATTTCAGAGTACAGCAGGGCCATCACCTTACTCCTCGTAGACATCACGCTTCAATTCACACGATGGGTGGGTAAAGATCTGAATTGGTGAGAGGATTTCCAACAAGTTAAGGAAATTACAGTGGGAATATGAATGCAGTACTCAGGAGAGAAGGGCAATTCCTGGGCTTCCTAGAAGAGGTAGTTGGATGGTCTTAGACAAATGGTTAGTCTGGAGTCACAAACATGAGTTCAAATCTGTCCTCTGACATTTACTCACTTACTGATGGTGTGACTGTGGGCAAGCCATTTAATCTCTGTTTACCTCAGTTTCCTCAACTGTAAAATGGGGATAAAAATAGCACTATCTCCTGTGGTTGTCATGAGGATCAAATGAGATAATATTCATAAAGTACCTGGCACATAGTAGGCATTTCAATCAACCAACAGTTATTAAGTGCCTACTGTGTACTAGGCACTGTGCTCTTTCCTGACTACTTGGTTGTGAGTATTCTTCCTTAGGTCCTAAATTACTTTGCATTTCCTCCAGATAAAATGTCAGCTTCATGCGGGCAGGGACTGTTTCATTTATGTCTTTGCATTCCTCAGACCTAGAAAGGTGCCTGGTATGCAGAAGGCACTTAATACCTGTTTGTGAAATTGAATGGATGTCAAGGAGCCAGCGAACGGGAGAACAAATGAATACACACACAAGCAAATGGAAGGAAAAATGACCAATGCTCTCCCAAACACAAGGACCAGCATACACTGAGAGCCCAGTCTGTCTGGGCTGGGCCGTCACCTTGCCGCAGGTTCAGATCTGCACATAGGACAAGGACAAGTCTCCCTTGATTTCCACCGTGTCCACCCTTTGGATGGCAGGGAATCGGTGGGGGTAATCGAAGACGTGCTGGCCATTGGCAAAGACTTTGAAGCGGTCGTGACCACAGCGGATGGACAGCTGGAGGGAGGCAGGAAAGGGACAGTGTAAGATTCAAGGTGGGGGACAAATGAGGATGACAGAGGCAGGAGGAGGTTCACTGACCCGCCCCCCCCCCGACTCACATCAAAGTACTGGCCCCGAGTGAATGGATTGAAGGTGGCGTTCCTCTCCTCTTTCCCCCACTTGCCACCCAGGTAGCTGTTGCGGACCACGGCACCTTCGGACAGTCGGGGGTTAATGTGCAGGGCCACGTCCTCTGATTGGGCCACCTTGAAGTTGATGGTGATACTGGGGGGAAAGAAAGGTAGAGGAGAGTCACTGAGGGTGGGCCTGGGCCTGAGGGACTTAGACCCCAAAAGTGGAGGAATGTGTGTGTATAGGGGGAAGGTAACTGTAAGTAGAAAGATGAAAATCTTAACTCCTGGGGGAGGGGAAAAAAAGCAGGGGGTGGGGGATACCTGGTCCCTTAATGGGGCTGAGAGTTGGGTAGATGTTATACTTATGACTCCCCAGGAAGAATTTCAGGGCCGGGACCCACATTTGGGGCCTATGGTAACCTGAATTTGAGGGTCCCTGAGTGGGAACTTGACCTGGGGCTTGTAAGGGGGCAGAGGTTGGGGTAGCGGTGGAGTGAAGAGTATCAGATGTCTTACACCCTGAGAAAGGGAGGGGCTGAGGAACTTCTGAGTCCCCAGGAGGAATTTCATTGAGAGGATACATGCGGGTTCCTAAGAAGTTGGAGACCCGGATAAATGGGATCTCAGAAAGGGTGGGCACCGATGGGCTGCACAGTGAGGTGTCTTACCTCTTGGCCTGGTGGGTCACCAGTCCTTTTATCACGATGGTTTTTCGGGGTGTGAGGCCACCCTGGATCCGCCCCCAGAATGGCACTGGCTGTTGATTAAAGGGTTATGGACAGGATCAAAAGAGCTTGCCAGGACCTTCGAGGGCAGTTAGCTCCGTGCTCTCCTCTTATATGTAGACTGACGGTGTGCATGTGGCAGTCCCCCATCACACATAGACAAGGAAAACAAATCCCAGAGAAGGTGACTCATGTCACACTGGATGGAAGTCGGGGGCCTAGGATCTGAATCCAGGTCCTCTGGCCCCATTGCATCATCAGGCAGGGATAACGGGGGGAGCACCTGGATTCCCACAGAAGTAGGTCTGCCCCTTCCCCCACCCCCCCACTTCCTCTAGATTCTAGTCTCCATGCCCCTATTCTCAAAAACCCTCACAACCTCCCTTTCTTCCTAATTCTACCTCTCCAGGCCCCCACTCTGTCTTTCCCCATGAGCCCAATCTCCTACCACATGAGCACCATACCGGATTGAAGACTGGTGGTCCTTCCATGGTCTGCAAAGGGAGGAAAGGACCAAGAGATTAGGGGACTCACAGGATTATAGGACTGAGCATTTGAAGGGCAGTTGGGGCCCAGAGAAACAAAGTGATTTAGTTGTCCTTGGCCACACAGGTGGTCAGGGTCAGAGGCAGGATTTGAACCCAGGTCTTCTCCAGGGTTCATATACTCTGCTGATTGAATCTACTACAACAGGAGTCAGGGATGACCACCCCTAGATCCAGCCACATCCTACTCACCGGTAATTCATAGGGTGACTGTCTATAAACTGGTCCTGGACCCTAGTGGAGGAGGGAGTGGAGAAAGGTAAGGAAAGAGACCTTCTGTTTCCTCCACCTACCATCTTCTATTTCCCTCCCTGATTCACTTCCTGATTCCACGCCCTGACCCCCTTCCCCTAGTGGGTACTTACTGGGTGTGCTGGGATTGTCATAGGAACCTGTGGGGACAGAATAGGAAGGCATAAAGTATCTTGCTGGGATGGGACAAAGGGGACCCCAAAACTCTAGGTAAAAAGGAAATGGAGGCTTGGCACCCTTCATTTTTTGCACAACCATGAGTTAAGAACATGGAGTTCCACAAGAGGAAACCAAGCACCTTAAAGTTGCAAATGGAAATTCTGGGGTGCCCAGCATGTACATGGATGGGAGACAGGAAGCCCCACCTCCATGACCACCTTTATTAGGAGGCAGTCTCAATCTGATTTCTAATCCCAACCGTCTCCCCAAACTCCTTGCTGTCCCTATGTTTGCAGAAACAGACTCAAAATAAGAAAGAATCTGGGATGACAGGAGACTGCAGTGCTCAGAGCAGGAAGGAGGCTTCTAAATCATTTCCTCCAACTTCGTCATTTACAGAGGAGACAAACTGAGGCAGGCCCAGTTACCTGCCAGAGGCCCCACGGGTAGGACAAGCAGATCTGGGATTAGAAAGGGTTGCCTGGCTCTGAATTCAGCCCTTTTCACTTAATAGCATCAGCCCAAAGGCAGGACAACACTGGGACAACCATGTCATAATTTAAAGAACTGGATTTTAGACTGAAGGGCCTGCCTGAGCTTGAATTATGATTTATGAATTATGAATTACTTCGTATGAATTATGCAGGAGTTTATAAATCATATTCTTTTGTTTGCTCTTTAGCCATATGACCTTGGGCAAGCTATTTCCTCCTCCTCTGTAAAACTGGGGAAGAGGCGAGGCTGTGGTGGGAGGTGGAGAGAGGAGGTGATGGTCAAAGAGTCCTTCTAGCTTGAATGTTTTGGGTTCCAGGCAGGAAATCCTCCCGGGGAGAATTTGGGAGTTTTCTCCTCCCATGCTGGTCTCCCCATCTGGATCACTGTCTCCCCCAAAGTGGCCCCAGATCTTCCAAAGCACACCAGGAGGATAGAATGGAACGTGGCATCCCCACCCCTGCCCCTCCCAGTCCATACCTGCTTCTGTTAGCCCATCCCCCTCCAGAGATGCTCTACCTGGCCTGGGGGAGGGGGGCCACCTCCAAGGAAGTTAATGGATTGAAGTTGCAGGTCTCCGTCCACTTGCAGATGGGTGACCATCTGTATAGGGATCCGATGTCCATACTCATAGAAGGGGCTACCATTTACTATTACCTGAGGGAGAGGGTGGGAGGAAGGGAGAGGAGAGGGGGAGAGTTAGGACTCCTGAATACCCATATCATGACTTCATTCAAGGCCACATTATTCAAAAAACACTCCTAGGAGAGTCTCCCCCTCACCCCCACCCCACAGGAATGACCATTTCCCTTCCTTCGACCTCACATAACACTTATCATGGAGTATTTATCAGAGGTAGCATATGTAGCATTCAGGAAAACCTGGGTTCACATCCTGTCTCTGACAACTACTAGCTGTCCCTTCATGTCAAAATGCCTCCCAAGAGACCCTCCCAGGCTCTAGGTCGCAGAGAGGGTGCCAACCTGCATCGGTAAAGGGAGTTCCCTGCCCTGGGAAATCCTCAGGTCTGCATAATTACGTGTGTATAGGAATTTTATATCAAATGAATTCATTCAAAAACAGGAAGTCTTTCCTGATCCCTGCTAATGTTAGGGCTTTCCCTCTGTTGGTCACCCCCAATTTATCCTGTCTGTATCTCTGTCCACAGTGACTTGTAGGTCTTCTCTATTTATCTGTGAGCTCCTTGAGGGCAGACACTGTCTTTTGCCTGTCCTTGTATCCCCAGGACTTAGCACAGCTCCTGGCACATAGTGGGCACTTAATAAATGTTTACTGACCGACTGAACAAGAGCTTATTAAGTGACCATTGTGTGCAGAGTTCTTTGCTCTAGGTAGGTTGCTGCTTTTCAACCGTGTCTGACTCTTCCTGATCCCATTTGGGGTTTTCTTGGCAGAGATACTGGGGTGGTTTGCCATTTCCTTCTCCAATTCATTTTGACAGATGAGGAAACTGAGGCAAACAGGGTGAAGTGACTTGCCCAGGGTAACACAGCTAGTGTCTGAGGCCGCATAGGAACTCAGGTTCTCCTGACTCCAGGGCTGGCACTCTAGCGCCATCTAGAGGCCCCTGCTCTAGATAGGGCAGGGGTGAGATGAAGCAGCGTGTTGCACAGTGGAAGACCAGGGATTAGGACCTGAGGTTGAATTAAAATCCCTTATTTGATAGCTGAAGAAACTGAGACCTGGAAACGTGAACGGGCACATAGGTAGCAGCCACGGGGCAATATCTGAACCCAGGCCTTTTCATTCCAAAACCAGGGGTGCCTGATAATAAGACCTTAAGTGTCTTTTCATTCATTCATTCAGTCCTCCCATGCCTTGTCCTTAGGGAGAAGGACATTCCCAACCAGGGAGATCTGGGAAGGCTACCCCGAAGAGAGGGTATTGAGTCGGGCTTTAAAGACCTACAGGAACGCGCTAGATAAAGAGCCGGGAACGATCTGGGTGTATCAGAGTCGATGGACCTCCGCCAGAAGGGACCTCAAGTCATCTAGTCCTCTGAGACAGCCCAGCCAAGCCAACATTTTGAAGACCCAAAGTCCCAGGGAACTCACTACCTAACTGAGAAAGCACGTTGCCTTCATTCTGAGGAAATCTTTCTTTAGATGCAGGCTAAATCTGCTTTTAGGAAACTCTTCCCTTCCCCTTCCCCACCTTAGGTGCTTAATAAATTCTTGCTGACCGACTGAATCCTGCGGCTGGCATTGGGGTGTGGACCCTACAAGAGTGATGGGGCCCCATGGACGCCGCCCTCTTGCCCGAGGCTCTGGGGTTTCTCTTAAGTCCACTAAAGGACGGGAGGGGGCTTTGGGGAGCTCGAGGCTCCCGGCCTGGGGGTCCGGGAGGGAGCTGGGACGGTGTCAGACCAGGGACGGGCAGTGCGGAAGGACCCAGCCCCCCCACGCCCGCACCTCCCAGCCCGCCGGGGCTCTCCCAGACCTTGTAGTGCTCGCCGGTGACTATGAAGACCAGCTCAAAGGCTTCCCCCTTACGGAAGGGCATGCTTTTCTTCTTCTCCTCTTTCCCCCAGTTGCCCCCCTGCTTCGTGTTGAAAACGACTTTGTCCCACCCGTCGAACCGCGGGTTGAAGTGGAAGGCGATGTCGCCCCCCGGCAACGTAAAGTTAACCGTGAACCTGGCAGGGAGAGGAGACGAGGACAAACAGAGGCTCAGCCCCCAGCAGCCCCCAGCAGCCCCCAGCAGCCCCCAGCAGCCCCCAGCAGCCCCCAGCAGCCCCCAGC